TCGCATAGATGCACTCGACAAGTTGAGTCAAAATGGACCATACTGATATCCCTAATCCAGTCATTGAAATTAGCACCATTAAATATGTCTCTCCAGTCATTGAAATTAGTACTATCGAAGATGACTCTCCTATAAAGGTTCATAAGAGAGAAGGAGCCAGTAGGGTTTGAGCTAGAAGCATTGTTGGAAGACATCTGAAAAACAAGAGAACAAACTTTAGATTAGATAAGAGTCCTTAATATAACACCCAAATGAAATATTAAGGCTAGGACCCAACACAATATTTTACAATTTGGAAGAGGGATGCCAAAATCCAAGTTGTAAAATATCTTAAGGTAGGTAAATGACGATTTACCAATTTCAACCATGAAAAACGAAATTGATTATTAGGTTTTAGATGAATTGAAATTCCTAGATTCTTTTGAGATTCATTGAACTTTTCAATGGCATGTTTAAATCTCAGTTATGCCCTTCAAGTTTGTGACTGGGATACCGAGGATCACAAACAAGGTGTGAATAACCATGCAAATATACTTGGTACTCTTAATGTCATTTATCACCTAATCGATGTGCCGGTTAAACACACACGCTCCACCGATATATGACAAACATTAAGCCACCCTTTTCCACCCTTACTAGTCCATGTTAGTGTATCGGTTAACCATACACGCTCCGCTAACAACTTGGTAAGGTGCAAAGTGTAATTTCATGGCTTAGCATCAATTTTACATTTTCCTAAAGTAACTAAGATTGAGAATTTATAAAACATTTAGTTACATTATAATTATCATTATACTTAATGAGAATTAGTGTCCTATCCTACTCATTCAGCTAACGACCCTCCACCAATCAAGGAAGCGGTGGGTGAGAATGGACACCCATTAAACTGTCATTTTATAGGTAGTAACCTTATATCCCCCTTATAGACCGGCTTCGTGAATGAGGCCAACTAACGGTAAGACTGACTTGTTCTTATATATATATATATATATATATATATATATATATATATATATATATATATATATATATATATATAATTAACTTATAATATTATAATAGTATAAGGGTTGAATTTTAAACTTTAAAAATTATAGGGTTTGGAATTAAAGTATTAATGTGTGTGACTTTACAAATTCCAAAACTTGAGGGCATGTTTGGAAACTCTTCAAAACTTTTCATCTCCATAACATATGAGTTTAATGGCCTTTTAAAAATGAGACTCTTCATTTTCTATAACCTATGAGTTTAATGACTCTTTTAAAGAAAAGACTTTTGGAATTCCATAACTTGAGGACAAATTATGGAGCCCATTAAAATCATTTAGATCATTATTTTAATTAACATAATAATCAAATAATTCATACATGATTCAGTTAAACTCGTATGATCAAGATAATTCATATCAAACAAATTTCATGAAATTAGTCTAATCATATAAACTAATACAAAACATGAAACTTTGACAATTATCTTTGAAATTGGATAAGCATAATCATTACCACATCAAAAACAAGTATATTTGTTCAAAAACGGTTTAGGGTAATGATTCTAGTCCAATTCCAACTTTAAAACTCGAAAATCTGCATTCTGGAGTACTAACTCATCGAGTGCATGAACTGACTTGGCGAGTTGGTTAGTGTAAAGGGGTGACTCGGCGAGTTTGTCAGTGGACTCAGCGATTCCACTGTCCAAAAAGCAGAAAATCAATTTTTTTTAAGCTTTGAAAACAAGTAGCATCAAGTATAATGGAAAACAATCATGGACTCTAATACGACCGATGGGTTTTGAGCACTCTAACAACCTTAAGGTGCACATACAACCCTAAATGCTTTGGATATATGTTTTGTCTAATTATACATGCAATTTGATTTTTCCAAAGCAATACCCTAACTAGCATACAAAACTGTCATACTTGTATAATAAAACTAGTTAAATAACATACCTTTCTTGTACCTTGTTACTTTGAGATTTAAGAGCCTAGCACCAATAATGTGAATGCCTCAAATGGAACCACAAATCACCACTAACAGTTGAAAAACTTGAGAGAGAGTATCTTTGCACACAAATCGGTTATGATCTTGCACACACACACACACATACACACTGATGCCAATTTTAGTAGCTACAGGAGTTCTTATATAGTGTGGCATGATTAGGGTTACATCCATGTAAACCCTAATACCCATGACCTTTCATATTACTTAGGATCCATGGGTAAAAACCTCCATGGACTTCCATACCGGTTTAGCCCATCCTAAATAACCTTTGGCCCACTCTATCAGAATCCATATTTAATTAGTCTCCTTTTGATTACTAAATTAATTCTTGACCAATGCTAATAATATGATTTCATATTAATATATTAGAACTTATAATATATTAATAAATCATAAATATCCTCTTTTCAAAAGTCCATCCTTACAAATTGTTCCGGTGAAATGCAACCCAAATGGACCATGCAAAATCAGGTCAAGTACATACTAAATATAGTTATGCACTTAGACACCTTATCCAACAGGTGGAAGAGCACAAAAAGGCCAATCTCAAAGTCATGGCCAACGCTTATCTCAAACAGGAGGAAATGGTGCCCCGGCCGAGCCCGGTTCAGCAAGAAAAGCAAGACAGCAACCAGCATAGACACAACCGCCATTCTCGGCACATGTCACGGCGGTATAGACCATTCAACATGGATGATAGCATAAGTAGCCACAACGATGTCCATGCAATCAATAAGACTCCATCCAAGAATAACAAATAAAAAACCAAGTTCTATAAGTACCATCAAAGCAAAACGCACGAAACCAACGAGTATACAGTATTGAAGCGGGAGATTGATGAGAAGCAACTAGTGGGGAATATAGTCGACATAGCAAAGGACCTCGGGGAGAGATTTGATGGTGACAAGCATCGGCATAAAAATCAGAAATATGGGGGCAAGGATAACGACAGAAGGGTCGAGATACTCACCATCACAGGCCCCCGCTCATGTAGTAACCACCAAAGCCAACGTGTAGGCGTGCAGGTATACTAGTAAAACATCCTCAATATAACATTTTCAATGCACGATCCTCGACTAGAGAATTAGGATCCAAATGACCCTTTGCACATCACCGGTTTCATTGGCCAAAACCACGTTGAGAAAGTCTACGTAGATACCGGAAGCAGGGTCAACGTGATTTATAAGCACTGCCTTCCGCAGTTACCGATTGAATGGAAAGAGCATATACAATTGCCACGCCATGGCCCATTAGTCAGGTTCACTAGTCATGGCATCTGGTCAACAGGAACAGTCACGCTCCCATTTACATTGATTATTCATGATGGAACCGAACAAATAACCAGGGCGCTCAAATTCCCAGTTATTGATCGCTCGTCTGATCATAATCTCCTACTAGGCCGGCTAGCATTGTTCCAGTTACAAGCAATCCGTCTACTTTTCAAAGTGTTCTCAAGTTCAACACGGGTGATGGATCGGCAATGGTAGTAGCTGCTAGGACGGGTAATGGATTTGACACTCAACAAGGAATTAAACGAGAAACCCAATTACCTTGGAGCGACGGCTGCCAGCATATGGAAGATCCACAACGGAAAGCAGCAGCAGCACAAGCGCTGACCTGTGAGTCTAGGAAAAGACAACGTGGTGTATTTAGCTGGCTCACAATGTCTCTCCCCCAAGGGGAGGGACGTGCTGACATAACGATACATCATCCAAACTATGAAGCGAAGATCGCAAGAAAAAAAAGCAGCTACTTACGGGTGAAGGAAGCAGCAAGGCCCACAACCGATGGCCAAGTCATGCCCAACCAAAGAGTGATCCAAAACTCAAAGAGCATTTTTGACAATGCAGGATATGAACCAAAATCTCATGGAATTAAGGGAATGGGTACTGAAGCCAGGGACAGAGTGTCGATCCTCCCACTACGCAAACTTTCCCATGGGAGAGAACTGCCAGGCACCCCTGACGCACAAAATGACACACCAGGCAATGGCATAATACGTGCCAGATAACGTGGATGGCACTCTCACCAAACAGCAGGGACTCACTTACCACGGTTGCATCCCGCACTGTGTCAAGAAGAAAGGAAAGTCCAGACACATCCAGAGTATGAACAACAAAGTTCATCTTGCTCACACTGGGCACCGCTGGCGATGACAGGCGAGAATTCCAACCTATCAAGAGGCATTCGCCACAGATGGGGCACCGAAACACAGCCGAAGTGGGGTAGCCATTGCGGAGCACTCACTCCAAAATAAAGTGGGGGCCTAACAAAAGGAGTATGGTCAAACTCTGCATAGGATAACCATACTCCATAGCATAAAATCCAATCCAAAATAAAGCGGAGGTCTGGAGAAAGGAGTATGGTTGAACTCTGCACAGGATAACCATACACCATGTGCCAAAGCGAAAACTGGGCATACGCCCTGACACTTAGACATTCAGGTTCTACTATCTTATGTCTTTCTTTCTTTTTCAAGAAACAATATAATTTGCATTTTGAAAGAGCTTTCCAGAATTTTGTATTGCAAAAACACAAAGTATAGAGGTTGTGCATATTTTCCAAGTAGCAACAACGGCTGATCACCTATGCTACTTGAGCAAACTCCATACAAGGATGAAACCGTAGGTCTTAAAAGAGTCAAAATCTTTACCTACAATGTGCCAATAACATCTCAAAACTGAGAATGTATAAATCGAAATTAATGGTACAGTACCAAGGGTTCTAAAAGATTCATAACCTTTCCCCTGATATCACAAACAGTAAAAAGTCTCGACGTGATGATCTCAACCTATATATTGGCAGCTAAACCATACAATACAATCCTCAACAGTGACTAACATTGCACGGCTTAACATATTAAGCCTAACTAAACACGCGATCCAACGGCAACTACACACATAATACATACAAAGGCAACTACACAACATGAAAAATGGAAAAACACAAATCAGCCCTCGGAATCTGAGGAAGAACCTCCTAGATTCGGCTTCCATAAAACTAGCGGAATCCATCATAATCCAACTCCCCTAAGCAAAAGAGGCCCACAAAATATGTCTCAGCCAGGGACGATAAGGCGACATCCACCTTTTCAGCCCTTCTTGCAACACAGCCAGGATCTGGGACTTTAGGTTCCCCGGCACTTGCAGAGCGACCACCCATTCGTTTTCCCTTTTCAAACCCAAGGGCTTCACATGCCTCACAAACATCCCATATCCCATTGGCGAATTTTGCGCTCTCAATGACCTTGTCAATTATGCAGACCACCCCCTTCTCTAGCATCCACAGCAAATTACCTCGAGCGACTGCTCCATCCACACGAGCACAGGCCAGTTGACGTTTGCACCTGGCCAATTTACTCACCAATACGTCTTTCTCCCAGACAAGAGAACTCACCTGGTCCTCAAGTTGCTCAGATCGGTTCCCCAAGGTAGCCACTTGATCCTCTAAAGCAGCCTTCTCGCACGTTACAATGTAGTTCTGCCCAACAAGAACTTGGCGTTCCACCTCTGAGTCACTAGCTTCCCCCCTCATGCCTGCCAAGTCACCCTGCAATACTTTCAACTACCTCTGATTTGCACCAGCACGATGAACCTGGTCGGCAGCAACAACCATGAGGGCAGAAGTCTGGGTTGCGGCGTAACAAAGGTCACCGGCCATGCGAGCACTTGATTGACCTGCAATCGAACTCATTGTGGTCGGAGGATGAGCGCACCTACTCCACTCCTGGATGGTAGTATCCTCCGACAGCAAGGAATCTTTGGTAATCGCCCAGCTCGGAGTGTAGGCCTCAAAAGATAGGGAGTGAGATGAAGTCCATGTTCCATCGATCAGAGAAGGCTTCCCACGTTGACAGGAATCTTCAGGTGAACCTGGCATACCCCCAGACATAAAGCAAGAACCAGGATTAACCAAGGGAGAACTAATGATTGGTGAGGGTGACGCCTCCGGAGAGCTAGGCACCACCACTATCTCCTTCTGCTCAGGCATAGAAAATTGACCGCTAAAAAATATCCCCGATACCGCCCAGAAGCCTGGCCACAGATACAGTCCTACGGGCTTTACGAGGACGAAGACCCGCATCGTCGGATTTTGTCTCCTCATCCGACGATGGCACCACATGTAAACTACGCCTCTTTCAAATATGAGCACTGTCTTTTCCTGTTTGTGCTCCCACAGGAAAACCAGAAGGAACGAAAATTGGCGAACGAACTGGGGAAACAACTCCAACAATCGGTTGTGAAGACGACGCAGACCCGCTAGAACCTACATTTCCCCTTTCCACTAAGGGTAGTCCAGCAAGCTCTCGCATACGCCTCTTAGAAATGGGAGGAAGAAGAGTCTCTATAAGATCAATCTCATGATGGCAAAGCTTCCCTTGATAGTGACCACGCAGGGCCATCTCCAAAGAAATCTCGACCTCAACACCTGTGAAAAAAAAAACACCAACAGTAACATCCCACAAGTCGATAAGATATCTTATCCTCACTCTTTTTTCAAAAAAAAAAAAGGGGGAGGGAGAAGGAGATGAGTTAATATCGCATCTCACGACGAACATCTGCATCGTCTTCCCTTAAGCCCTCCAGGCAGCACTCATATCGGTCGTTGCAAGAATGAAATCTTCCTAGTTCCTCCCAGTGATAGTGATGTTTCCCAGACGCTAGACGAGGGTCAGATTGCTCCCAAAAAACTTAGGGAGGCGATCAGAAAAGTATCAGGTTCTACAAGACCCACGCCCCACAAGGTTTTGGTTAACCCAAAGCCACTGACGTTTCCAATTTTTCCTCGGAGCGTCTTGTTCAGAGATCAACTGACGAATGCCTCTTCTCTTTGCTAAAGTGATGACCCCGGAATTCGTAGTCGAACAGAAGAAGTATCTGAAAACCCATAAAGTTTGTGCGTAACCCATAGATCGACCAACCAGTTCAAAACCGACGATTTTATTAATGGCGCTCGGGGTCAACTTATTGACGGAAAGACCATAGTGGTCCACGATCATGTTGAAGAAATTGGATGTCATCAAGCGTAGCCCCACCTCAAATAAGGGGATCAGAACCCCCACCTTCTCTTGAGGGCGATTGTAAATTGACACCCCTTTTCCGGAATCATCATGTCGTGCTCTGGTAAGAAACCGAAGTGATCTTGCAAAAATTGGAACTCCTCAGCAATAGGGACTCTACTGTAACAGTCCATTGTTGAGAAAAGGATGAACAATTGAAGAGAAAATTAACAGGATATCCAGATTGATACAACAAAGCTGAAATGGGGATGTGGAGATGAAGAGTCTGGGAGAAAATGGGGGATTTTAAAAGACAAAACTGGTGTCACAAACTGTCTCTCAACGGGATGGACATGCATTGACGGGCTACCTAAAGCCTGTCAAACGATAGAACTAATCACGGGCATACATGTGTTAAGATATAGACTCGAACGGTGACGTTGTCAAACTGACGCATACACCTACGAGTCTAAGGGACTTTTTAATGTATCCCTCAGGGGAACGTCAAGAAAGAAGTCAAATTAACATTGGGCTTGGTCTGGCCAGAACCTAGTCTAAAGCCAAGTTCGGGCCTTCATCAACGCGAAGAGCGCTGATATGGCGGTAAAGGTGCAGAACCACGCCTTAACCCCTTCTCCAGGAAGTTACACCCCGATAAATGTGGGACCAATCAAAGATTCTGACTCACCCATTAGATGATAGCGACGATCTTCGTAAACATTTAGAAGATCCCCTCCCAGCCAATGAGGGAATGAGGCAAAAGATGTGACGAAGGGCCCGCCAATATGGGTCCACCACGTCGCACCTCACGAGGGAATCTTCAACACAATCGGTTGAGGATACGCCCCTAAAACAGGTATATAAGGATCCTTCTTCCTCACTAGGAAAGGGACCGAATTCTCTCTTTCCTGTAGTCTTCCACAATCTCTCTCAGATCTCATACTAACTTGATCGTCGGAGCTTCATCCCAAGAACTCCTCCCGGGCATTGACTAACGGTCATTTCTCTTATTTGCACTATGATAGCAGGAGAAGATACTCACAAGGATCCTCCCGGCTGTTGCGCACCAATCCTCTCCGGCCTATCACAACAGTCTTGCATGGCTATTAAGTGCACAATACCAAAAACCTTAACTTCTTAACTCATTAAGACATCTTAGTTCATGTATGGAAGGAACTAATGACCAAGATCACATTTTTATGCTTCTAAACACTCCAAAATGTCTAAAAGGGCAACTCATATGAATTAGAGTAACCCATACTCATAATACCAAGTTTGTGGGACCAAAATGAACACAAAACCATGACTAAACAAGATCTAATAAGAGTACTTCATCAAGATCAAAGTTTTTTACCTCCAAATGGTGTCAAATGGTGATGTGATTTTGGATCCAAAGTGTTGCACTCTTCTAAGGCGGTCTCCTCTTCTTTCCTACTCCTTCAAGATCACCAAAACACACACAAATGGATCAAAGATGCTCTCAAATGGATTAGGGTTTAAAAGGGTCGAAAAAGGGTTGGAGGCTGATGAAAGAAAGAAGCCTTGAGAGTTAAGGGTGTTTAAATAGGGTCCAAAACCTAAAAATTAGGGTTTAGAATTCTGCCATGTATGCCATGCGTACCCAATGTACGCCCAGCGTACGCACACTTTGCCCAAAAAGGTAAATACCTGAAATTAGAGATGTTACAAATTATCTGATATATCAAGAGACCACCACCATTTATATGGATCCAAAGATTGGGACAAACTGTTATAACACATCAAGAAGACCCCCAAGTTGTTCGAGTTCACCTCCATTATTTCAAGCCGCTATTTCTACCCCAAGAACCATTCACAAATTGCTCCAAAAGCAGGAAATGTATTTCAATCTCCAATAAAAATAGTCTTTTGAATCTATTTTTAAGAGCAACCTCTCTAAGCCAAGCACTGTGCCAAAAACTAGTGCAAGAACTATTACTCACATTTTCATCAAAAAAAAGTGTGATATAATATTAGTCTCCCAATAATTCTTGACCGTATACTTTAACTCTAATGTTGTAAATCATCCACTGTCTGATGAATGACTTCAAGAACTTGGAGCCAAAACAAATAATTCTCATTAAAAAAAAAATCTTCAACTCCATTTTCATACAAATAAACTTATTTAAATACAACCAAGCTGCCAATACCGATACTATATTTCTCTTTATCTTCCAATGACTTCGATAACTTGAAGCCAAAATGATGATTTGTTATTAAAAAATCTTCAACATCAACATCAATTTCAGTAACAAAGCTTGGTTAAATGACCAAGCTACCAAAACTAATACCATCTTTCTCCATATTTTCCATAAATTTATCCTAATTTATCCAATAAGACATCATCAAATTTTAACAAGAAATAAGACATCATCAAATTTTAAAAAATAAAATGTGAAACCCGAAATTCGTGATGGCCAATCTTAGCACCACGAAGAACATCATTGGCCATAACATATACAATAGCAACATTTAATCCTTCCATAGCCAGAATTTTTGGTCTAGACTTTGAATTTCTCCATTTGACACCGAATTTAAGAGTTTTAAGCTTATTTGAATCTGATCATTGCATTGTTTATCACATCCTTTGGGACTTCAGTCCAAATAGTAATAACGAGCTCTTCAAAACCTTCCAGTGATATCCACTGATGATACATGTTGAACGGAATCATACCATAATCCAAACTCTCATTTTTTGAAGAAGAATGTTTGACCACTTCTCATCTAATGTCATTTTGGACTTGCATCTAAAAGATCATCAGAAACGTGAAACCTTTCATTTTTGCTCATTTTTGTATATCTTTTGTCTACCCATATAAAATTACGGCCACCCATACGAATATCCACCAATGAAGCCTCATGAATAAAATTATTAAACAATCATTTGTCTCTTGACAAAAAACCAAACCAAACCAAACCCTTCGTATTTATGTCGAACTTCATTAACGCCAAAATTAATACATTGGCATTGTCTCCGATCAATAAAAGAAAGAATAACAATTAAAAGGTATTTTCTGCACAGAATAATGAAGAACTATTCATCAACTTTCCTTTTACTATCACATAATTATCTCTAACACATAACATGAGGCTTAATAAAAACTATCATATGATAACACGAGGCTTAACAAATCCGCAAAATCCCAAATCGATACCATGAAAATGCATTTACTTTTAAAAGCAAAGTCGGACTGGAAAGTACTCCACAACGCCTTATCCAATCTCACATCTTAGTTTCTTGGATACCCAAAAAAAATAATTAACCCCGTTTTAAAAACATAAACATTTTATCCATTAAAAACTTTATATGTAAACCAGCAATTAACGAATAATCGATAATTGTTGAGAAGGCCAGATACAAGAATCATTCACATATAAATTATCTTCTACAAAAATTTTATGGACTAATAAAAAAAATATGATAAAAAATCTTCTAATCAAGTAGAGTTCATATTTAAACTTTTATAGCTTCTAAAATCTACCGAATTGCAGCCCTAAATATCGCTTTAAACAAATAAGTTCTTCAAGGTACATTGCTAATAGCAAGAAATAAAAATAAAAAGCTAATATAAACAAGTCAATAAAAACACATTACTACTTACTTTAACATTTTAACCTTTTTTATTATTTCATACAAAAGGAACTACTTAATGAAATACATCATGAAAATCAACTTTTTTTTCCCAATAAATCCAAAGTTTTTATAAATTGCCCTCAACTATCTAGATGGTCATTTAATAAAGAAAAAGAAACAAGTTCTAGATCATCGTTTCTTTAAGTCTATTAACTAAAAAAAGCAACATCAATATACAACAGTACAAGCAAATAGTACAACCATAATAAATCTGTCTTTATTCTATAACAAATTCGACATACATTAAATTCTACACTTTGGGAATTCATTCCAATACCATATCTGTCTAAAATCATCAAAATTGATCAAATTCTGTAACCTAATAACACCAAAATTTAATTAGGATTCATGATTCAAGACTAAATGTTGTGTGAGCCTCCTTTTAGGAACAAAAATCTCTATTAATATCAAGTTCAACATCACAACTCGGCTCTCGATTCTTCATCTTCATCTTCGGTTGGTTGCGGTTGAACCGGTGGGCTAACCGCCTGACCCGGGCCCGCTTCTTCGGCTACATGTGGTTGAGCCGGTGGGCTAACCACCTTCTCTACCGGGCTCACAGCTTCACCAAGTATTTTTGAGGTGAAGTGTCTTGCTTCAAGATCAAGATCTGGCCACTCTGCTACAATCCGTCTAGCACCCTGAGTTGAAGAATTTGAGGTACAACTTTTCAAGCATTGGGTACAACCCAACATGGGAATTATAGAATAGATATAATTAAGGGTAGAATTGGAAAATGACAACTGACCTGAAGCTTGGGTTCCTTGGTCATTGGATTGTTGCAAAGATCGATGGTTTTAGCGCGTGCTTTTGTGGAGTTTCCACACCAAGACTCGCACCATAACCATTCTTGTGGAAGTGAAAAGATTGGTACTGTGTGTTGGGCGTAATTCGGTAAATCCTGAAACATTAATTGAAATTTTATAAACATAATTAATAGCAACATACTAAAAAAAAATTTCTTTTTACCAATAATAGCAAAAGTTATTTTACTTTATCTGAAAAATTTTACACTTGCCTGATCAAGGTTAGAGAGGCTGTTTGGATCTTTGCTAAGTGTTTCATAAAACACCCTTAAATTGTCTCCAGCTGCAGTCTCACGGAACTTGATTAAGTCAACTACGTACAAAGCACTGTAAAATAAAATAAATCAATTTTTTATAGATATTAGAATAAGGAAATGCCAATGTGAATATAATTTATAAAATATAAACAATGATGTCACCTAATATGATACGGTCTTCCCCTTAAATGTTCCTTCCAGAAACCCTAAACAATAACGCAATATAGAGCGGATTAACATTTAAGACCGGACTGGTATTTTTTTATTATTATTTTTTTTTGTAAATATTGTAGTTATTTTCTTTTTTTTCCATCTGTTTCAGCATATTAAAATTTGTTAAAAGTGAGGGTTTATTTTGGAAAAAATAAAAGGTTGAGGGTTTTTTCAGAATAAAAAAATGCAAGGTCCTTTTCAGGAACAAAATAAAGTTAGGGTTTAATCCGTATATATATATATATATATATATATATATATATATATATATATATAAGGGTTTTTACTTGGTTCCTGTTCCAAGTAAAAGGACTATATGTTTGGAACCAAAGTTGCAAAAATCAGCTAACTCAAGGACCAAAAATAGTCGTTTTACTTGGAACAGGGACAAAAATCTTTACAATTGCCTCAAATAAGGACCAAAATTGCAAAAACTAGTTAACTCAGGGACCAAAAAATGTAATTTACTCAAAAAAAACTTACTTGTCTCCAAAACCGATAACCATCCATATCCCGATTATTATCACAAAATGGGGTATATGCAAGAGGTCTTCCTTTTAAATTCATGTCATAAAGTTCTCCCATGTCAGCCCTAACAATCTGATCTGCATCAACAAATATAACCTGTACAAACAATGAAACATACACATGGTTATTTAGCATATTCCTATGTTATTATTACTTTTTTTATAGAAGAAAAACGATTTTGAGATGAATACCTTTTCGAGAGAAAGGGGAAAAATGACATCAAGAAATAGAATTTTATAAGCCCAGATAATTCGTTGTTTTTCTTGTTGTTTATGCAACCAACTAGGCCATTTATAGGTGATCAGTTCATACTCAAAACCATATTCCTCTGCCATATGTGGAATCACATCCTGCATGAAAATGATAACAAGATTTAATAACATGTTTGTTTGGATGGAATGGAATCAGGAAAGAATGGAATGGAATGAGCGAATCGTTGCATTCCATTCCTTCTCTGTCCTTTGATTCTATCATACAACCCTTCCTTATTTTAAGAAAAGGACAAAAATATGGAGAAGAAAACAACCTTAAACTGTGGTGAAAGGTAGTTCTTTATAAACCAAAATTTTACTGGACGTTGTGTGTTTTTCAAAACACTTAGAATCATAATTTTCAGAAACCGCTCATACCTGCATATATCACACAATAAAAACATGAGAAAAACAAGAAAACCTTCCAAATTCAAAAGAATCCAAGATTTCTGATAAATTACTTACAAGTGTCCGGAAGCAATCGAAAATATATTTATCGTTTTACCCTTTCGCCCATTGCTTACATTATCCTACAAAAAAAATTTAATCAGTTTCCATGTCATATATGATAAATTATTAGGAGTCTTTATGAACAAAATACTCACCACTTCAGTCTTCACACCCTTCTTTGTCTGCACATTGCCACCAATAAGAGAAGAAGCCCATTTCAAAATATTAGAATTCCAACTATCTTTATCATCCTACAAATATCGAATAAAAAATTTTGTTTTTAGGGACAATGTCATTAAACAGCAACCAAGTTTCACATTTCTGCCACCTAGGCAAAGGCACCTCACTCTTTTACAAGACTCAAACTTTCAATTTTCCTCCATTATTATGGAACTTTGTATATTTTTGTTCATTGTTATGAACTTTAGTATCTTCTGTTGACGTGGCACTGATGTGGATGGATATATGACATGTAAAAATAAACCAGCCATGTCATACGTCCGCATCAGTGCCATTTCAACAAAAAGTAAAAAAATTTAATAAAGTGTAAGGCGTCCACTATTTACTAAAAAATAAACGAAACCCAACTTGTTTTCTTGAAGATTCATCATCATCAGAAGGAATTAATAATTGTTCGTGTTCTTTTCCCTTTTTTTTCACAACTCCAAGATGAAATGGTTTTCCCCTCAACTGATCAATGATGATACGTTTTGTTGACCGCATTTCTTGACCATCTTGCAGAAGATAAAGATCAGAACTTCTTCCAGGAGCTAACTGAAGATACCAAACACCAGGTGACACTTTCATTTGCCAATAACCTAAATTAGCCATCACAAGTGTGTCAACTAAATGGGGATTCTTTTTTGTTCCAAGTATCATTTGAAGGCCTCGTGGTGGATCATGATCTTTCTCTGAACAATGGCCTGATTCAGTAGTTCATCATTGATTAGATTCATCATTAAGTATAAAGACATAAAGTGTTAATAAATGATGTTTAAAAAAGAAATATGAGTTACCAGTAAGAATGAGAGCTTCAAGTTCAAAAACTGCTTGTAGGGTTCTTGTGTCACCAAGGTTCTCGAGTAATATGTTGTCAAGATCATGGCTGAAATACACACAAGTAAAGTGGTTAAAAAGTGAAAGAGAAATTTACAGGGGGTGAAAATGTAAGATTTTGTACAACAGTGAAACTTACATGGCAATGACAGGTTCGATAAGCCATGATTCAGGAACATCAAGATTCATGGTTAGGGTTTTGGATAGTGGCATGTTTGCAAAGAATGCTTTCGGGCCATGTACAGTTAAATCGGTGCTGCTGAAGTCATCCTGAAATATACAAAAAAGACGTAAATGCCCTCATCCTCATCATCAAAAATAGTCCTGGAAAGCTTCTTGTTGGTGGACTTTTTTACCATTGTTGGAGTAACAAATCTGTAGTAATTCTTCAGTGGAAGATCAACAAGGGAACTCTGTCAAGAAAAAACCATTATAATGCATTAGTTACAAGCTCAAAAAGGATTGATAACTACTATGCTTAGTTTATTCAAAGGTAGTTTAGATTAGAAATTTGACCAATAGTCAAACAATTTCTTTAAACTAACCATTGGGTTGAACACAAGCCTCATGCTTGGTTGACTACATTTCCACAGTATCCGAAGAAGTGAAGCCATTTTTTGACCTGAAGAGCTCAAAGGATCAAGAACAGCATCTATATGAATACTTGAGTTTTCACTTCCAATAACAACAGCACTGTGTTCAGCACTCAGCATCTCAAAGCGGGCCCCTTCAGAGCTTCGGTCTCGTGTAGAAAGTGAAGACGTGACAGACATAATTATATCACTCATGAATTTGCTACAAAAAAAAAATGAAAATAAAAAGTTAAACTTTATGTGCATATCAGAAAATGAAATATGGTTAGATACGTATAAGATATAGCAAAAAAGAAAAACCTCATGAGTGTGTCTGGATCTACATTCTCCCATGTCACCTCTTCGATGATGTCAGCAATGTGCTTTGTTCTTTGCTTATATTCCAAAGCTTCTAGAAGATGTAAATCTTGGCTTAAAAATGTAGCATCATCAGTGAGACGAACAACCTATGGAATCCCAATTAAGTAAAATTTCTAGTTAGTGTAAACTGATGTAATCCACATTTCCCTTTAAGAATAAGTACAAAGGGTAAAAATGGAGCACACCCTGCCATTAGTGATAACTGCATTATCGCCCTTTTCAAGCCCAAGTTGTCCATTTAGAAATCGACCCACCTGTGTGTTTTATTGAGAAATATTAGTAGCAATGTGATATTGGTAATAAAGATGGACTTCAGATGAAAAAGAGAGAATTTTGTACCTTCTTTAAATGACGTGTAAATCTGTCAACAGAAAATTCAGAAATAGCTGACTTAAATCCTTTAGATTGTATTCCATTCGCATCAGCTAATTCAGAAATCTTATCTAGAAATTCTTGACTTTCTTGAGAAGACTCATAGTATGAACACAAGTGGTCCAGAAAGTTTAATACCTTCTTCTTATGACTGAAAAACACAAAAAAGATTTACATCAACTAAATTAAAAATCATAATATATTGATTGTATAAAAATAATAACAGACCTATATGATGAGGACGTGACTTCTAGAACCTTCATAAAGATGAGACTATTTGAATCAGAATCAATATCAGAATTAAATAAAAATCCCACACGACCCCTTGGCGAATCTGCCAGCTGTAAATATGTGTTAGTTTTTTTGCTCATAATAAATAATAAATTATTAAATTAATAGTGAAAGTGTACCAGATAACGTATTCCTTCATGGAGTAACTTAATCCCTTTTCTTGATGTGACATCAACAGCAAGAAGATGAGTTATGGGCTTCAAGTCATCCATAGCTAAGAAGGGCATTTTTGGAATTAGAATAAAAAAGCAAACAGTTTACAAAAGTCAAATGCAAGAATTGACCAAAATCTTACTTCCAACAGAGTGTAAATATTCAATATTATTTAGCAAAGATTCATCTCCAAGAATTGATGGAGTCAAAGAGACAAATTTAGGCTTCGCCTTTCCTCCAACAATCTGTTTATAAAACCCGAGATGAATTTAGTACAAAAACATGACAAATATATTATAAAAATTAGGGAAATCGATTCGAATTATAGTTTCAAACCTGTAGATTATAGCGATGAATTCCATTTTCAGATAAATACTTATCCAAAATATCAGTGCGGGAATTTATACGCCCATAGTAAACTTGTTCCTGGAGTCTTGGAAGCTCATCAGTCATTGCATTCATTAAAGCTTCCTGAATATGTAATAAAACCATGTAAAATTACTATTTAATAATAATATTATTATATTATAATGTTAAATTTAATATGCATAAAAAAGAGAACCTCATTTGAGTCAAGGACAAGACCATTCAACAAGAGGGAACATTCCAACTTTGCAAGACCAAGTTTGAAAACATGTAAAGAACTTTGTTGAGATTCTTCATGGAAAGATTGCTCATTTTCCAGCTTTAATAAAGTATCTTGAGGTGGAGTTTTTGCCTTTGGCCTACAAAACAAATATTATATTATAGTATTGTGCTTTTTTCCTATAATATTAAAGAACTGTACTCTTAAAAACTACCCAATTATAGCATTTTGGTTTCAATCTTTTTCTTATTAGGAGATTATACTTTGAAGAAACTACCCAATAATAAAAACAACTTTTACTCAGGTTTAAAATAATCTTCATGACTTACAGTAATGTTTCCACAAATGCCCCTTCCACATGGTGAAGCACGGGTGCATCTTCCTCCCCTGACTCCATCCGTAATTTATGTATCTGTATATATTTTTTAAACATCATTTATCCAGTCAACACTTATCTTCAAAAAAAAAAAAAAAAGAAAGAAAGAAAAGAGCCTCAATAGCTATCAATGTACTAAGTAAAACCCATACGTTGCTGAGAAATTGAAAAGCCTTCTCGATCCCATGACTCTCTTTGATATAAAGAAAAAGGCGTATAGTCTGCAGATCATTAGAATGCACATATTAATTAGTGAATAATATATTAACAACAAAAAGAAATTTAAAAAAACTTGTTACCAAGCTTGATAGATCTTCCTTAATTGAGCTGTCTGAAGATGGCAATTCTCCACCATTTTCCTCAAGCTTCTGAATCAATTTTCCCGAATATAATATCACACCAAATCTCACTGGAAGACTGTTCTCAAATAAAGTGACAATGGTGTCAATTGTCTGCAAAAAAAAAAATAAAAACATGATTAAGATTTCATGATTCACTCAGCAAGTTTAAATTAAAAATCAGAGTAACCAAGTAAGTTACAAAACTAGTCCTTGTGATTTCTGTTTTTACCATGTTCAGTCCAAAACTGAAACCCTTTAGTCATTATTTCAAGGTTTCATGTAGTTGCTGTTTTTGGTACTTGTTTTAAGTTCAAGGGACCAGAATCAATATAATATCCACAAATAAGGACCAAAATTGAAAAATGCTTCAATTTTGGACTAAATATAATTACCTCAAGTCCACAAATGGAGGCAGGATCCAACACATAGACTGCATGGTAAAGATTCTTGCGAATGTAACGTAATTGTCCAGGGAAAACAGGCATTAAAAGCTGAAAAAGATGAAGCCAAAATTAACAAAAATAAAATCTTTTTCAACTTTTATGAGAAATAAAACAATAAAAGTATAATACCTCATTTAGGCTACTTCTCCATTGTTTGTATCTGGCATCCACCTCTAAGTTATTAAGGTAATGAACATGGTCTGACCGAAAGTCAACACGAATAGTATTGGAATCAGGAGGTGGTAAAGTTGCTAGAAGCTTCCGGACTGTGCTTGAAGGAATCTAAAATTTGTAAAAAAAAACATAAATCAGAAGTTTTTTTTTTAAAACAGGGTAATGATTATATTTAAAATAAAGAATCGGTACCTTTAGTTTTGTATATTGATCAGCTAAAGATAATTCTTGATGGGCCATGTCAAGCAACCTATGAAAGATATATTTTATAAGTTTTCAGAAGATTTATTTTTTTTAATTTATTGATGGAAAGAGGAAAAGGTATTTTACATAAAAAGGTCGATATCATCAATATCGATTAAGGCACCATTCAGAGCCATTAAGGACTTGCCAGGTGGGATCATTCTCTGATTTGCAAGTATTTCTTCTTTGATTGAATCATTCAGCTGCACGAATTTTCAAACAAGATTAATTCATTCCTGAATCATCATGTTTTTTTCATCCATAATAGCAGCCTATTTTATTCTCATTACCAATATCGGCAATGTACTTACATTTCTTTACCCATAACTGGAAAATATTTACATTTCTATACCCATAATAGTAAGTAAATTACAAATGTGGTCCCTAGGTCGTTAAATCTAACTACTTAGCTGTTAGTTTTTCTAAAATGAGCATTGTGCCCTTTGACCAAGCTCAAAAAAGAATATACCACAGGGACTAAATTTGTAATTTACTCCAAATTTTATTCAAGCTCACTTGTCAATTGTCATATACACATTCTTTAATTTGTATTTAATTATTTATTAATAACGATTTAGACATTTAATCAACTTGTATTTCAATAAAAAAATTTCATTTTCCAAATACATGAAAAAGAAAATCAACTGTCTCATGCAACTTTGTCCAAATTGCATCGATTTGTAGCAAAAAGTCAATACAAAAGTAATGACCTCATCATCCAATGATCTATGCCACATGGGGCTAAATTTGTAATTCACTTTGCAACAAAACCAAAACTTGGCCTAAACCTGTAATTTCCTATATACCACAGGGACCATATTTGTAATTTACTTTAATAGTAATGTACTTAAATTTCTTTAATAGAAATACATAATCTAAGAACAGTAAGCATTTTACAAGTTTCAGGTTACATACTACAAAGAAAGAAAAGCAAATTGCTAAAATAAGTAACCAAATGTATGGTGTGATGCTATTTTCTGCAATTTTTTTAAATGAAACAGAAAAAAATACCTTCATACGAGACAAGTATGAGACAACACTAGGAAAATTTTGGTTTATTTCCTGCATTGATTGAAGAGGGTCTGAAGCACGAACAATCTTTTGAACAGTTTGATGTCCTAAATCTGTGATTAAAGAAACACAAATACAAAAACAATGAAGAACAAGACCCCAATAATATAAATAAACTTAGTCTTTTTTTTTAAGATAATGCAATAGTACCCTTTAATTCCCACACATTAAGTGTATCAGATACTGCTGATGACAAGAGCGAATCCCTGAAAGCCATTATTTCAGATGTCAATTCTGGTTTCCGTTCCTGCATTAGTTCAAGAAAAGCTAATTATAAAACTTTATAACAACCACCCTTTAAATTTTAGATCCTGTTAAAGTAGTAAAACAAAGAATTAAAGAACACGGAAAATAAGGGAAAAAATGAAGACAATCAAATACCAAAATCTTGGAAAAGATGAACCCTCTGACTTCTTGACTGAGATCTTCAGTGTGAGGATCTTCTAGAGTGACACCTGCATTTTCAATAACGTGGGTCCCATTTAAATTTTGGCAAAGCAAATAGAAGGAATATATAGGCATAAATTTTGAAGCAGGATGATCAGAGTTGACTTTACAAGACTAACCTTTCTTTATTTCACTGTCATCCATGGCCTTATATTCCATGTTCTTTAAAGCAAGTTCTACACCATAACCACCCAAATTCAATGGGTCTTTTGTGCCAATTGCTCCACAATAACCACTTTTTGATTCACATCCTGAAGGCAACACAGGCCTCAAAACATACTTAACTTTCCCCTGTGAGTTTTTATAACGTTATCAGTAAGTAACCTATCAAATACAAGCATCTATAAAACTGGTATCAAGAAAAAGATAGTTTTTACTGGACCTCTTTAGCTGCCTCCACAAGGGTCCTATGAAAATCCTTAAAGCAATTTGTCCCAAGAGCTCCATATAAGATGGCAATAGGACTCCCTTTAGATGAATCAAAGTAGACATGATCAAAGTCAAACAGTTCAGGCTGTTGAAAGCCATCTCCATTCCTACAAGGGCAGATTGGTAAATAACTTAATACTTTACCCGATGAAAAGTGGTTGCAGAATTCGTTAGAAAGACTTACTTGTGAGGATCACGAAGCCACAATAGCAGCTCAGGGACATCAAAGAACAGTGCCCCACCTGTGTCCACCCAGCAACATTTGCCACCGGGACTAGGATTAATGTCATCAGATAATGGAAACGAAGAAAGAGATTCTTCTGCTAGTTGCTGATAAAGCACTAATCTTGGTGATGAAGATCGAAGAGTAAGAGATAAATCAAACACGGATGCCAGTGGTCCAGTCACTAGCGATTTCCCATAATTAGATATTTTTTGCAAACAATCTTTGGCTGTGAAAGGATCGGTGTTTCCACTTTCGTTATTAAGCCACGCTTCGATGAATTCCCAGAAAAGGTCTTTCCATTCTTTTGATAGTAATTCCCTATGGAAAACAATTCAATTCAATAAACGCATAATGAAATTAAGTAGAACTTACAACTTACAAAATCACCATGGGATAGTAGATGATAAATTGACAAACATACCCAGCTTCGAGAAGGAGTGAGGTACCAGGCCATTTGGCCCGAAGGGCAACTTGTACATTCTTGGGTCGTTGGGTCTCTGCAGAAACCGAGTAGCCACAAACTATTATGCAAACGGCGATTATAATCAGTATCTGGAAGCCAGATCTGATTCGGGTCTTCATTGCTTGAAACTAAGCTTTCAATGGCAATATGTTCTTATAAGCTGATCACGAATGCACAAGTGTCGTCATTCGCCTAAAAACCCTCCCATCAAAGATATGAACTTCAATCGTAGGTTTTTATGATGGTTTTTCTAATTTTATCGGAAGCAAAGATTTGGGGTTTTGAGTGAAGTAAGTCAAGTCTTGTTTGAAGTGATTAGAGCTAGCTAGGGTTCCTACCCAATGCTCTTCTTTCTTGTCAATTGACGATTTCTATTGAGAACTTGAGAATTAAGATTTAAGATCGCACCAATGCACCATAGCTATGGTAAACGCTTACATGGACGGAGTATACACGTTGCGATATGTATATAACCACGTATGATATTTGACATGGCATTGCTTGATTGGATATAACACTAGCTTATATCAAAGGAAAAATGACTTGGGTAACAAAGTTTCAATTTGAAAAATATAATTAAAACTTTTTATCTGACATTATACTATTTGTATAAGTATTAATTTTATGTTCCTTAAGGAACTGTTTTTTGTTTCTATTGGATCAAAATCTTTTTTTAATGCGTTCCTCTTTATCCGATGTTACTGTCCATCGCCTAAACACCCAACAGAAATAAGATTATTATCACTGATTCAACATCCACCGATCCATATATCGGTACAGTAACCCACCACTTTCAATTTTACCTCTTCTGCCGCTTCACAAATTCCAATCACCTCTTCTCCGATTGCGTTGTCGATGACGATCACAAGCCGACTTCTAATTTCAACCGAAATTCTGATTTCAGCCCGCCAGTGGAGGCGAAGCTGACGATCGCCCCACCCCCATGCCTGCTTACATTTAACATCGAGCAAATTTGTGCTTCCTTTTCCAACTTCTGAATCACACGCACAGGTAAGCTTATCATTTTTTCCGGACATTAGCCCATATTCTCGCTACCGCTATCATATTCTATCATCTAGGTTTTGGTTCTTGGATTCTTGATTGCTATCGTCAATCACAATTGGGTAATAACAATCATAATTCAACCCCTGGTCTAATCCCTTTCTTTGTTTTTATTTATAATTTCAAGTTCAAGACCTCAATACTTGGGTGCTCTCTGCAGTCGTGCATTTTCCATCTTGTTTGAAGGTGAACGTCGCCCATCTGTTTTCATCGAAATTTCATTCTTTCATATCCAAGTAATTTGAAGCAAGTGTTCTTTGTTAGAGAAGGTTAGTAATCACCATAATCTATTCAAACGATGCACTCCAAGTGTTTGTGAAAATGTCAATATCAGTTTTTTTTATTAATACATCTCTTTCTTGTATTGCTGAGGAATCTAAAAATCCTTTTATAATTCATGTCTGATTATTTGATTTTTTTTACTTAACAAAGCTTTTATGCTCTTTGTCCTTTTTCACATATATGTCAATCTGTAAAACAAATCTGGATCTTATATCTTCATCTTTTGAGTGTGAACATGTGTTAGATCAAAACTTTAAAAGCTATTCATGAACTAATTCTTTTATTCTCATATTGTATTGGCCTTAATTTGTTTATATTTTTTCTGTAACTTACCTTCATACTCTAACTAATTGGTAAATGTTCTTTTTCTATTTATTATTTCGACGGATCTAGGGCATCAGGATATCATGACTGCAAAATTGCAGCCTACTGCCATAAAAGGCGAATCAGCAATTTCAAGATAATTAATTTATAACATTTTTGTTGCCTTTTATATATATTTTTGGTTATTGAAATTTGAAGTTTTGTATGAATGAATGGTAGGGACGACTCAGTTGTTACTGTTGGTGCTCTTTTACTTGATGTGACTTGGATAGATGGGTAAAATAGTCACACGGGATGAAGGGTAAAATGGTTATCAAATAACCAACCCATTTGCTATTAGAAGCTGTTATAATTAGGATGCCACTGAATAGAATGGTCATTGTGATTTCAAGCCACTTACTATTTCAATAGCACCTAAAAGAGTAGTTGATTGAAGATCAGGAATGCTAACAAAAAAAATTATCATCTAATACATCTATCCTTAAAATACATCGGTAATAATACAAACATGTTTTCATCAGAATGCTTTCTAAATAGAAACTTTTATAGCAACATACTTTTATAAATTGTTTTTTTATGTTTATTTAGGCAATCTATTGTTTTACTTTGAAAAGGTGTAATCTAGTATGAGTTTCATTAAAACAACCAGACTTTTATTTGTGTTAGTGTTACTTACACTCCAAAATTAAGAGCACCACTAGATGTATGAACTATTTAGTAAACTCATGCTTTTTATTAAATCTGATGTTTGAAACATTACCGCATTAGGTCGCTTGGGTACAACTGATGACTTAAATAGTTAGATTAGATATTGATTTTGTCCGCCGGTTGTTAATTTTTCGATTTATTTTTCGAATACAACTGATGCACTTGATTTTCTTTCTATAATCATGAAATAGATATTGTTAAATGGTATTTTACCTTTTAACCTTGTCGGCTTTGTTGGAGTTGGAAAAGAAGCACATTGTTGATTTAGAGAAGAAATTAAGTGAATCTCAAGGATGTAGTGAAGAAAGACGCAAGCAATTGGAATATTCAGATAAATAAAGTACAACAGTTACAGGATCTGAGCAGGTTAGACTTTGTGTAAGTTTGATTTTCAGGGGCGATTTGGTAAATTTTTCCTTTTTCCTATGATTTTTGTATTTAAAGGTTTCATTTATGTATCAAATCTGCATCCTACTTCTTTATCTAAACTTTCTTTTTTGGTGTTTGTAGTGGCATAATTGAGATGCTTGAAAAAGGGATGCATGTGATCAGATTTCATCTTAATGTTTGTTAAATTACTTGATGAGACCCATAGTTCCATATACAATGAGTGTGAATCTATAAAAAAATTATGTTGTAATTTTAAAAACATTATTCAAATGTTTATAGTTCATAGTTCCAAATATTTATATTTGTAGTTTGATAAAATTATTTCATAAATTTGCAAGTTTACTCATGAAGTCCTCATATAATTGAAAGTATGTTTCTAATTTTAAAAACATTATGCAAATGTTTATAGTTCATAGTTACATATATTTTTATTTGTAGTTTGATAAAATAATTTCATATTTTTGCAAGTTTTCTCATGAAGTCCTCATATAATTGAAAGTATGTTTCTAATTTAAAAAACATTATGCAAATGTTTATAGTTCATAGTTCCAAATATTTTTATTTGTAGTTTGATAAAATTATTTCATATTTTTTCAAGTTTACTGTAACATCCCAAAACGCAACCCAAAAATTTTTGTTAATAATTACTAAAAACATCATGTCAATACCATAAAATAAAACTCGTACGTCAATATCTCAAAACCATAGTAAAGTATTATGAGAAAACTATATCAAGACTGTATCAAATCATATCTATGACAAGCTAAAACAATTCCCAAGATAAACTGAAGTTGTGGTGTATGCGATGTCATCAACCCAAGCTCTTCCCTCTACTTGCGGAAGTACCTGAAACCAAAACTGAAACTGTAAGCACAAAGCTTAGTGAGCTCCCCCAAGCTACACATACCATAACAATAACATATAAACACATATTGGGCCTTGCCCACTGCCTCGTACCGAAGTCCGGAAGACCGAAACTGACTGGGACTTTATCCCCTGCATCGGGCCGAAGTCCGGAACTAACTGCATCGGACCAAAGTCCGGAACTAACTGGGACCTTGTCCCCTGCATCGGACCGAAGTCCGAAAACTAACTGAGCATAGCATAGCATAAACATATCAACTATCATGAACACATAAACTGCATACTACATCGGGCTGTAGCCTGGAACACATAACACATATATTCTGCCTAAGCCACGAAGGCATCAAACATACTAACTACTGCATCGGACCAAAGTCCGGAAACTACTGCTAGCTAAACGGGTCGACATTGTGGCCTTAGACCCGTTCCTACTGGAAGGAAACTCACCTCGTACACTGGCTGCTAAATGAACTGCTCTGGGAACCGACTACTGCTGCTCCTGTATCTCCCCAACTATAATTTCCATAAATAAACTCAATCAATTACTGATAATTGTACTAAGGGTAAAATGACTATTTTACCCCTGGTCAAAGTCAACCTCCTGGTCAAAGTCAACCTTCAGTTGACCGGACTCGCCGAGTCTGAGGAACTACTCGTCGAGTTCTGTCAAGCGGATTCCATACTACTACATTCGAATCCGCTCTATGGTTCCTAACTCGTAGATCTGAAATCTTGGAACCATCTGAACACGTAAAGTTGCTAACTTTACGTGTAACTACGAAGGAATCAAGCCTTCCTACTCAAACACCACTTTGCTCGGGAAAACTTATCCGACTCGCCGAGTTGCTCGTACAACTCGTCGAGTTCTAAGGCAAACTCCATCGGACTCGCCGAGTTGTTCTTCCCACTCGTCGAGTCGACGGCTAACTTCATATAACTCGTTGAGTCGTCATGTGGACTCGCCGAGTTCATTCAGCCCTTTTTCCATACAGGTCCGATCTAAGCCATGCAGCTGCTACAAATCATGGATCTAGACTTCTAGGGCATGTTATTCACGTAAAGTTGCTAACTTTACGTGCATGCATGACTTTAAAGGCTTCATATGACCAAAAATAAGCTCTTAATGAGGTTCTAGGCTCAATGGGGACTTTAATCACAACCAAACCCAAAACTTTATTCTTCTAGCATGCCATGAGTGTCCAGATCTAAGATATAACCCGGCCACAAGGCCTATTCATAAGACATTTAGGGTTTTTGGGCTAAGAAACCACAATTTAGGAACAATATGGATCTATATGATCAATGATAAAGGTATAGAATTTAATACCAAAAAAGATGATCAATAGAGTGTGTACTCTGGATCTACTTCCTCTTCCTTGAACTCTTCAACTTTCTCCTTCTCCTTCTTACTCCAAAGATGCCTTCACAAGCAATAAACACACACACTCACTAAGAAAACGGCTAGGGCTTGATAAGGAATGCTCTGAGAGTGATGGAGGCTGAAATGGGGGCTATAAGGACGTTTAAATAGGTTGCAAACCCTAAGAATTAGGGTCTCCTCCTGATTGGATTACTTGTCGAGTCCATGCGTGGACTCGCCGAGTAGATCACTTAGAACCCGTATCCAACTCAACATCTACTCGGCGAGTTAGGGCTACAACTCGCCGAGTAGCTCTTCCAAAAAGAGCATTTAATCAAAATAAATATGTACCAGGAACGGGGCGTTACATTTACTCATGAAGTCCTCATATAATTGAAAGTATGTTGACATTGTCAGGTTATATGTTTGTTTTCATTGTTTAATGACTATATGGGTGAGTAAAGTTTCAATAAAGGAAAAGGGGGTCAACCTATGAGTA